TGAATTTATCAGAAACGCGATGATTAAAAAATTTAGTAAAAATAAACTCTACATATGTCAATATGACAATAAGAACATTTTAAGAAATTGTCGGGTTTGTCAATAAAGAAATAAATAAATTTACATTATGTATGATAACATTTGAAATAATATTAGTTTTAATTTTAGTTTTAATTTCAATTTGTTTAAGCGTAGTTGTAAATTATCTATTAGCTACAAAAATATATAAATAGATTATGCAATATAATATTATATAGGTCGATAATATAGCATTTAGTACAAATTGTAAAGACGAAGTACAAACATATGTATACAAACAAATGCGTGAATATATATGAAAAAAAAAAAAGTAGGATTAAGTAAGCGATAACGATCATTAAATATTCAAAGATTTTAAAATGCTTAATGAGGCAAATTGACAGAAAAATTTTAATTTATCTATAATAACACTTTGAAAATATTGTTACTTTTCTGGTAAGCCGAAAATAATATTTTTATAAAAGAAATGAAAGAGATTTTAATAAACGATAAGATAACTAAAAAGAGCATTATTGAAAATAACAAAAAATATTTAACTTAGAGCTTTTCAAGCTGAATTTGTTCGCAAAAAAGATAAAGATAACATAACATAACATATTTGGCAATATAATATCAACTTGAATTTAATCGTAATATTACTTTTAATCGACAAATCATCTTTGACAATCACACCGATATCAAGTGACATCGAATTATAATTGTAGATTATCCGAGTGCATTAACAGCCAATAGCATTAGCACGTTTTTTTTTTTTTTACGACACTTGCAATTATAGAAATATTCGTCCTTAAGTTAACTGCGAGTTAATAGAACTAAAAATTTATTGTTATTTTTGGCATCTCACTCTATTTCGAGTTTTATAAATAAGTATATGAAAAATTCGACAAATTTATTCTGAAGCATCGTATTTTTAATATATACATTTTTTTTTTTTTATTTTACACCGGTGTATTTACGTATGTTGGCATATTACATTGCAATAGATGACAAGGGAATGCAAAACATTATTTTTCGGTGCACCATCTTATATTATATGTAAGTTGTGAACTTTTCTTTCAAAATCTTTTCAATACGATTCATTTCCATTTGAAGAGTGCACATTCATAAGTGTTATTACTGGGCACAATTAACACATAATTTAATGCTTATCTAGGGCAAATGTAACAACATTGTTGTTTTGTTTTAGTTCTAGAGAAAATTAATGATTGAAAAACGAAGCTACAAGTGTTGCACGCATGTGTGTTGCTAATGCAAGTTGATTCGATCAAGAACAACAGCATATACGCATAATAAATATCTCGAGGTTTAAATTTGAATACCAATTGCCGTTGTTCTTCTTGACATCGGTTGTACGTCGAAGAGCAAGAGGCGCGAGCAACTGTCGTACGATGTATGCAGAGAGGTGTGCGCTCTATAGGTGGAGTGAGACAGACAGACAGAGAGAGAGAGAGAGTGAGGGCGAGATCGAGCGAACGAGTGCTTGAGAGTGAGGGGGGGGGAAGGAGGTGCGCGCGAGATTAGCGTTGGTAAGTCCAAGGCAGAGGGGAAACCCCCGTAGCGCGCGGCGTAAGCGGTGGGGACTCCGAGCGGTGGGGGCCATGTTCGGGCGGTGGGGGCAGTCAAGAGGCGGGCGCGGCTTTCAATTCAAGCGGCAACCACCGCACCCGTGACACCTGGTGGTCGACCACCGTAACCAACTAATGCCATGGTCCAAGCGCTGTGATCATTCGCTGATCTGCCGTACTTATTAGAAATCTCGATTTCACCAAAATCTTGATTCACGCTTATGCGACAAAGCAAGACTTTATAACTTCTCGCAACACGTCGTTTCTCCTTTTATTCATTTTATTACATAACTCTGTGAGCTTAGACGCCGCTTAATTGCCCGAACGCAAATTTCTGCGCACAACCGATTATCGCTCTTCATTCATTTTTTTCAATATATTAGATATTCAAAATAGATGTTCCATGATAATAATAAATCTCATTTATAATAATTTTTATACGATAATAGCAGCATCGATAGAGACGCAAGATTCCGGAATTGTGTAATTTAATTATACAGCAATTTTTATGTTATAAATGTTATAAAAAATAATAAATATTAAGTGGCTCGAACTTCATAGGCGAAGGAATGAAAAATATATTAATTTAGTACAAGTAAATAGAAGAGATTAATTTCGCTTAACGAAGCTGTAAGTTAAATTAGAAAAACTAAGGGAAGAAGTAAAAATATCATTTTTATATGCACTCTGTATACGAACATCGCTTCCGGAGAAATCTGCGAAAATTGCTAACCAGAGAGAGAGAGAGAGAGAGAGCGGGTGAGTTAGCGAGAAGGGGCTCCGCCTCCAACGATTGACCTCCTCTTTTCCCCTCTTAACCGCCACTTCCTCTCGCACCATCTTTCTCAGTATCTTTCTCTCTTTCTCTCTTTGTCTCGAAGATCCGATTTCATTAGGGTTCGAAGGTCCGAATGGTAACGCAGAGGGCGACGCGCACATGGTTACGGATGGCCAATGAGTCTAGGTCTCCTCCGGACGACTCATGTATCGACTCGCGTGAATGCGAAGATTCTCCATCTGTTATGGCATTACTAGCTTAACTACTGCTCCATTCACTCCTCATTCTTCCGTCCTGCACCCTCCCACACAATCTTTCGCTCTTTCTTGTCTATCCTACTGGTGGCGCGTGCGGATCGGGCAACAGGTTTGAATTTATGAGACAATAAACGAGTGTGCGGTGCGTATATAGCGATGCGCGCGTGTCGCCGGTTTATCTTTTTAACCTCCTCAACCCCCTCCCCCTACCTACCTACCTACCTAACTCCCTCCTTCTACCCACGTTTCATATATCTCTCTCACTCTCTCGCTCTCTCGCACTCTGTCTCTCTGTCTATCTGTCTGTCTGTCTGTCTCTCTCTCTCTCTCTCTCTCTCTATCGATCTCTCTCGCTCTCTTTATATCACTTTGATATCTCTGCACATAGTCCGCTATAAAGGAGAGAACCTGCAAGTCAGAAAAATAGAGATGAACGCTCCGAGAGAGGGAGTGCTTAGGGTGCGCCAAAGGGAGAGACAGAAAAGGACGAGAGAGAGAGAGAGAGAGAGAGAGAGAGAGAGAGAGAGAGAGATGCGCGAGCGAGACTATCAAACTCTCATAAAACTGTCAGCTGCGACCGGTCTGACTTATGCGCTGCTCCCCTGCACATCTTGCGCTAATCGGCAGAAATGTTCAGCGATTTTATAATTGTCCTATCGACCGAGGCCAAGTCTCTGGCTGCGTCACAGGATACCATCGGCAAACTCGATAATCGACGGCCTTACGCCTCCAATCCCCCGACTTAGGTCGGATAATCGTCGTAATGGTAGCTCAGATAAAATCACACGAATTAGTTGGTCGATCGGCAGTTTAATGATGTCTGCAACCTGAAAGCCGGAGGTCGCGAGACGCGTGCCAAGGGAAATGCGTAAGTGGTACACGGACTAATTGAAAATGTAGGTCGAAGGTGTGGAGGACTTGGATTATAAAGCGGCAGACTTAGCCACGCAACTAAGAAAAATTCACGAGGCAATTAATGTGTCAGGGATGCCGAATTCAGCGAGATAAGGACGTGCTTAGGGATGTCTGCAAGGAGCCGATACATCATCGTCGCTCCCTGCGGACGGACGTCCCTCGGCCGCACGACGACAACGACAACCACTAGCAGATAGGCCGTAGTTCCTCCACAAGAAGAATAAGAATAAGAGCAACGTCCCACTCGTCGTTCGTTCCTTCTCTCCCCCACCCTGGGAAACTCCGCTTCCCGAATATCTCTCCATTAGCCCCCCTGACGAGCTTACTCTCCCCTCTCACGGCTCGATCCCGTCTCTCGTACTCTTTCTCTCTCTCTCTCTCTCTCTCTCTCTCTCTCTCTCTCAGTCTCGCTCACCCTGTTACAGACGTATACAGTCGCGCGCGCAGAGACTTACGGTGCACACGCAGTCAGACGTGCGCGCACGCACACGCAAACGAACACACGAACACGAACACCCCTCTTCAGAGCTTGTCACTTGGTAGAGCGGGCGGCAGCAACATCGGCGACGGCGCGCTACGAGAGAAGGAAAAAGAAGGAGAGAGAAAGGAACGGGGTTGAAGAATCCGGTGCGCCGGCGAGAGACCAATCAAGGTTTGACGAACGACGGGGATTGGTCGTCGCCGCGGCCGGAGAGAGAGAAAGAGAGAGAGAGTGAGAGCGCACACAAGAGAGAGAGAGAGAGAGAGAGAGAGGGAAGGAGACAGCCAGCCTGAAAGAGAGATAGAGGGCGATAGCGAGAACGAGAGCGAGAGAGAGAGAGAGAGAGAGAGAGAGAAAGAGAGGAGACTCCTGACACGCCAAACCAGCAGCGCGCGGCACGTGACAGCTACCGCGCGGCAGCGCAGCACACGCCGGCCTGCGCCGAGGATCCGCGAGGCCTCTCAGTACGATACCACCGCCTTCCGCGCACGCATCGACTCAGCGCACGCGATCGCCACGCACACGCATAGCCAACCGAGGAGGATCACTTGGTAGTCGGAACTGTGTTCACCATCCTCGAACGACTAGCCCGCGAATGGGGGAGACCCGCTAAGGTGACCCGGAACCGCGAGCCAACGCCGCCTTCGGTGCTCCGGTGACACGTGGAGACACTTGCCCCGCGGACGGTAGCGCGAGTGCGCGAGATGCCGATCGGCCCGTTCGCGACTTCGTGAGGCCCCGTGCGAGATTCGGGCGGCGATGACGCGCCTCCGCACTTAACAAACTCGTCGCCACCCGCGGTCGATCACAGTGCATCCAGAAGAAGCCAGTGCCGAGGCTAAGAAAGAAACGAGGGAGGAGGCGGAGGAGGGTGAGGGAGGAGGCGGAGGAGGGTGAGGGAGGAGGCGGAGGAGGGTGAGGGAGGAGGCGGAGGAGGGTGAGGGAGGAGGCGGAGGAGGGTGAGGGAGGAGGCGGAGGAGGGTGAGGGAGGAGGCGGAGGAGGGTGAGGGAGGAGGCGGAGGAGGAGCAACATCAGCAGCTGCAGTAGCGGCTGTCGTAGACGTTGTTGTGACAAGAGGAGCCGAGTTATCGAGGAACTCGACAAAACAAGAAATCAAACACCAGGATGAGCTCCTATCAGTTTGTAAACTCGCTCGCCTCGTGCTATGCGAGTGCTCAGGCCCAGGCCCAACAGCAGCAACAGGGTCCCCGGGGTACCGCCAATTCCCCGGGAGAACCCCTGCAAGCGGCCTCACCTGCCGGCCCCGATTATTACAACCCCAATGCCGCGAGCACTGGTTATCCGACACCCTGCTACTCTCCCCAGCAGCACTACCCCCAGCATCCGTACGCGGCCCCGGCCTCCGCGATGCAGCATGCGGCTCCCAGTGGAATGATCGACTACACCCAGCTACAGCCTCAGCCAAGACTCGGTGCCGCGGCCACGGCCCAGCAGCAGCACGGACTTCACGGGGCACCCCAGGCTCCCCATCATCAGCAGCATCTCCAAAGCCAGCAGCAGCAACAGCAACAGCAACAACAACAACAACAACAACAGCAGCAGATGCACCCAGACCCAACGAGTCCGCTACTGCAGGCAGCCGCGCAGTCGGCGGCCGCCGCTGCTGCGGCAGCCGCCGCCGCTGCAGCCGCCTCCAGCTGCAAATACGCTGACTCGACGTCCTCGACTAACGTATCCTCACCCCAGGACCTCACCACCTCGACGAACACGAGAAATAGCCCGGCCCCGGTCCTCGGCGCACCGGGGACCAGCAAGGCCGGCGGCAGTGGTCAGATGAACTCTACACCGGCCGGCTCCTCGAGGTCTTCCGTAGCCGCGTCCGCGTCCTCGCCCCCGGGTGGCAGTGGTAGAGCCGGGGAGGGTAGCTCCACCCTCACTACGGCCTCCTCGGCGTCCTCGCCTGCCTCGTCGACCTCGAGCACGAGTAGCACCGGCAACAACTCCTCGAACAAGGGCAACGGATCGGGCGGCAATCCGCCCCAGATTTATCCTTGGATGAAGAGGGTTCACATCGGCCAGAGTGAGTACTCCACTGACCATAGCTTGCGAATTATCTCGTTCTCCGTCTCGTCGAGACTCCGTTAGTTGTTGCTTGTGTCGCGGAGCCGCTCGCTTTCTTCACGGGAGTATGTGCGCAGTTACGATAAGGACAGACTCTCATTATCGCGAGGGAATTGACGTTTTTGAATGTCGCTTCGACTTTTGGCTGGACTCGGATTATTCATCAGGTGATCGGTTAGACCGAGTGTACTCTTTTTATGCGTGAGATCGTGCCGAATATAAGTTAAGTCATGAATTTGGATGAGACTCGTGAGAATCGGGTTTGTAGTGGGAAATCTTTGATCGCAGTGCGATGCCACCGCGGGTCGCAGCTGTGTAGTTAAATTGCCCTTGTCCGTGCACGTAAAACGCTAAGCGCAATCGTTTTTGTAAAAATGGCAAATAATAAATACAGTGATCCATCAGCCAATGCGAATCGAGGAAGCCCGATGATTTCTTCGGCGGCACATTAATGTGCATTAGCATGTTGTAATGCGATTTTTATGCGTCGGAATCGCCGTCAACGTGAAAATGGCAAAAGGAAAATTAATATTTTCAGTTTAGGATATGTAATGCTCGTTAAAAATTGAGAGAGAGGCATCTCTAGCTTACCTCTTGAATTGGTATTTCTCTAATATATTATTATCGATTTTTAGAAAAAAAAAAAAAAAAAAAAAAAAAAAAAAAAAAAAAAAAAAAAAAAAAGAAAGAAAGAAAAAGAAATGAAAGAAACAATGAAAGAAAGAAAGGAAAGAGAAAAAAACAACTCGATTAGGCGAGATACTTTTATTATGTTGATGTTGATATAATTTCATTATAAATAGGATAAATTCAGGTCTTATTGGACGCACGGGACATTTAATAATTCAGTAAAACTTTGCACACGACAATGTAAATGCCTGTGGGCAAATGAAAATATGCGTTGGAATAAAACTATATTGGTCAAACAATAACAGACTATTTTATTTTTAAAACTGCCAAAATTGTATTTATATACACGTAAAATTCTTTTCCTATTATTTTCATATGATGTACGTAACGGGTAAATATGTTAATAAATAGTTTATTGAAAAGTTATTTGCCATGTCTTGACTGTACGTTTCATTGTATTTAAAAATTATGAGAATAACAACATAAGATATTTACTTATCGTTTATCTGTAAAATGTATCTGTAAACTTTCAAATTATAGTCTTATTATATTTTTCTTATCGCGCGACAATTTATTTATCAAAGATCGGTGATACTTCAAATTTTATATAAAAAAATTCGCATCTACGCACGCACACATTCTAGAAAATTTACCTTAGAAAATAGGTAATAACGTTCGTATTAATTAAACAAGACTTTTTCTTCCTCTTCTTTCTCTCAATATTAACAATTTACGCTGGATAATTATTTATATTGTGTCGCTCGAAAGCCCTGTAAAGCCAGTTTTTTCACAGGTTTCGTTTCAATTTCATCTGTTTACTATTCTAATTATAAATGTTGACATAAAAATTAGATTTTACCACAACGGTATGGTTCGAGTAATTTTTTTTTGTCTTTTTTTTCTTTTTCTTTTTTATAAACAAGTCGAATATTCGATTATTACCGATGCCGCGAGTGCAATAATTATAATCAGCTATTGCGGAGTACGAAATAAGAAGGCAATATTATTGAAAATTACTTATATGAAAGACCGTTGTCGATTGCATTTGTTAAAAATACTTAACATTCTTAGTTAAATTGTTCAAGATTCGTGCATTTCAATCCTTAAATTTTGTACAAATAGTATATGCACGAAGAATTAGAATAATAATGCATTCATTAGATAGAAAGGATAATTGGATAGAACATTAGAATAGATAATGCGGTAAAGAATTATCGAATTGTATTCAGTTAATAAAAAAAGGCAGCAGCAACACTATCGTGGCATGTCCATCGGTCTAATTCTCGTCAAAGCTTATAGAATTCTATTTGGTCCATAGGCCTCGGACGCAGTAGCCGTCCAACCAAAAGTCGACTGGCAAATAGAGAGCGAAATATCTGCCTCTCCCCCCACCCCCACCCCCTCACCACCTTACAAATATCGCCTAATCCCCCACCCCTCGCTCTCTCCCCCGCCGCCGCTCTCGGGCTTGACGCATGCACGCGCGCACAATACAAACTCATGCCGATAGAGCGTGCGTGCGTGCGTGCGTGCGTGCGTGCGTGCGTGCGTGCGTGCGTGCGTGAGAGACGTAAGACAAAGCAAAAAAGGTCGCTCGTTCAGCACAGTCGCGTCCATGTGTGGTCGTAGCACAAAGGAAAGGAAGTCACAGGGCGCACATGTTCGGCTGGGCGGCAGCGTAAGAAGGGCCAAAGTCGTGCGGATGTATTTCTTTCCCTGGGGTTGCGAGCTCGGGAGGGCAAGATAAAGTCCGTTTCATGTGCCGGCGCGCGTCGGCGGAGACGTTCGTCCCACGTCGCTACCCGTTATTTATAAAGTCGCAAACGTGTAAGTCGACGCGGACGGTGAGTGCGCGCGCGCCCGCGCGCGCCCCATAATGTTTAAACAAAATCCAAGTGCCGCTAGGCAGGGATTAACGAAATTTTCGGGAGGAATATTAGCATACGCAGAGGAGACCACCTCTATCTTGGACTCGGACCTTCGCCTGGATAAATCACCGGATCAGCCGGAGCGCGAGATACGCCGCCGCGCCGTCATTTCTCGAGACTATAAATATCCCTGATTAATGGCTGTTTTTGAATATGAACAAGCGCTCCCAAGTATTTTATATTTGATATAGCGCGAGGCATCGCTACGACGGACTGATCGCTTTTCCTATACGTGAGAAATGCGAGAGGCACGCGATGACTCGACCCGAGTTAATCCCAGGGCGAAGGTAATTCCTGAGTAGGACGCTCGGGAGGTTGCGTTCGCCGCGATCGGTAAGCTTAAGTTTAGAAGGAGCAAGCAAGCTGCGCGTACAGGAAGCTCCGATATAACTTTTTGATAATTGGAGTGACGGTCCGTTGTCATTTTGTCAGCCGACCGTTCATTTACGGAAGTAACAATAAGGAAAGGACTCTGGTGTTCCATGCGTACGATGCTGTAGGAGATCGTCGGTGCCAAGTCCCAGGGTATGACGCGATATTCTCATAATGTACGTGTGCTTTTGCGACTGTTAAATTAAATCACGCTCAATGTCATAAATTGCCTTTAATTTACCGTGTTTTTGCATTTGTAACCCGCTTGTACTTAAATTTGTTACATAACTCATAAAAGTTTATAGTTCGCGATAAAAGCATCAAAGGATTTTAAATTTATTCGAATAATCAGTAGTAATCTAATCGTCGGGTTATGTAGCGCGTGCGGTTTGAGCTGACTTTTTAAGTATGCGCGACGACAATTAAAACGATGATCAAGAGAAAAACATGAGCTCAATAAGAAAGGAGCGTTTGTTTTCTTCAGGCTCGGAATTGTCGTATTTACGCGTGAAGCGATAAATTATTCATCCATTCTTCTTCGTTATTTTTCATCTCATGACGATTCCCCGTCAACGGCCGTTGTAAAATTTAATAAATGATACAAGGTGTTGATACACATAAATGCTCCCCGAGTCGCTAGACCACCGATATAACATTTTAATGTATATATATATATATATATGTGTGTGTGTGTCCGTGTGTCCGCGCGCGCGCGTGTGTGTGTGTGTGTGTGCGCGTGTGTGCGCGTGTGTGCGCGTGTGCGCGTGAGTGTGCAACGAAAAGTCTACGGCTCCTTCGAGAACAATTAATTTTGCAACTTAGCATCCATTACGTGAGCCGTCAAATTCCGATTCTTAGTCAATTCTTTAGCGCTCATTACCCCCTCCCCCATTCTCCTCCGCCAACATATCTGGCCCCTTCCCCGTGCCGTGCTAGCCACAGCGGACAGGAT